GGGGTCTGAATTGAGCGATCAATTATTAGACCCGGACGTCCCAACACTTGCTTCGCAAGACAAACTCAAGGTATCCCCTAAAGGGCTACCTTTCGTGATTACCTGTGTTCAGCCTCGTCTCATGCAAATAAGGACGGCCAAACTGAGGGTGTTGTTAATCACTGGGTATGACGCCACACAGGCTGGGTACCATCAAGTTGACGAGACCATGTGGGCTGCACTGTGGGTTGACATTCGCACACTGGCACACATCAATGATGTATGCCGGCCAATGTTGGCGGACATTGAAGTTGAAGGAACGAACTCTTTCCCATGAGTGGCAGCAGGAATATAAGGAACGAAGTGAAAGCCAACACCGATGTTCAGAGGTAATGTGGCCTCATGAGATGGCCAAGCCTATCTCCACAAACCATCGCACCCTAACAGTGGGAGTGGAACCCAAGGAAGGGGGGTCCATGGTCCATAACCTTGAATGCGTCAATTTCGATGTCTTTGCGGTTCCCGTCCACCGCGTCCAAATCCTTGCTCAAGCAAAAGAGCAGCGTTTTTTTTTTTGGTTTTTTTTGTGGTATGTGCCCTACGCATCCCCCGTGGGCGGCCTGTTGGGTGCTTTGCTGGTCTATTTGGAGAGCTGCCCTCTAAACAATGAGTGGCAAGGGATAGAATCTCTAGAAAATGACAGGCGAAGGTGTTTATGTAAAATGCCAAACCACATCCAGGTGTGGCTAATGAGCAATGGAAGAACATGCGCTGTAAAATGACAGGCGTAACATCCACGAAGCAGAAAGAAGAGGGCTCTATAAAATGAATATCCAGATGATTGGGTATAACATGTTGGGAAACCCGCTTTCACTAAAAAATGATATTACTGGATTCAAACATGTCTGCACACATCTGCGCGACGAGCCTGATAGTGTACTCATGTGTCCTTGATTAGTCTTTTATTTTTTAGGTCCCACAGGTGAAGCATATCTCATCATGATGAAATTGATCAAACATTGGCGCGCAAGCGTTGGTTCTAAAAAATGGCTATGCCAGATTCCCGCTCTGACATGATCTCCAACACCAAATTCTCTATAAGATGCTTTGCCAGATCCCCAAGCGGGACACGTCCATTTCCGACATACGCCTCTAGAAAATGCTTTGTCCAGGGATCACTAGGCATTCCATAAAGTATCCAAAAACAGTCCCAGAACCGCCTCCATAAAATGTCTTTTCATGTCTTCTCAAAACTCTCAGCAACTACCCTCTCTACAAGGTGACTACCCAAAAGGCATTGTATAGTGGCAAGGGACCCCCATTTCTTAGAGACCCAGTTGCGGGGGATCCCTACGCGTGCTTACGCCACCATAGCACGCGTCTACGCGAGCCATTGGTTCTTCAAGCATGCCTACGCGGAGCGTACGCGATGCAGCGTCTCTCTCTCTCTCTCTAGGATATGTTGTGCTTACGCTGCCCATGGGTTTCGCTCTTCCGTGTTTGTGTTCTAGTCGCTGCTTGGCGAACTCGTTTACTGCGACCACGACTACGACTACCACTACTACTGCTGACTGCAAGAAAACGTGTGTTCACTCCATGTTTTTGCCAGCAAACTGCAAGGCAAGACTTGTCAGCCAAAAGGCAGTTGTGCGGAGACGTGGGGTTTAGTGCGCAAATAAGTCCTCCTAGCAACGCCTACGCGAGAAAACACGTATTTCATCGTATTTCCACCATCGCCGCTGTTGGCAAGAATGGCTTTGCCACAGCAATTTCAAGTACTATCTGCATCGTTTGTTTGCATGTGTGCAGTGTCGGGATCTTGTTCCTTGCTGGCAGCGAATTTGCTTACGCAAACAACGCACAAGGCTTAAGGTCAACCTCTATATAAAGCCTTTCATTAAAAAAGGCTCAGCTCTGGTGACCTGTTGCCACCCTCCAAAGGCTCCCACGCGGTAGCGGGGCTGAAAAGGATCCAGTGGAGGGCAACGAGTACATTTTACACGACGAGGCGACCCTAGGCTTGAACCACAGATTGTCAAGTCAATATGGCGGCAAGAACAGCAGCCGCCAGTTCTTCGTGGCTGGAGGATGCTTGTCCCGTGTGCAACAGCTCTGCATCGTCCACAGCGGAGGAGTTGAGGCGGATGGACTCTATATGACATGGTGAGGAACAAGTCGGATGTTCGCGTTACAAGTGTCGCTGTTGGGTGAGCCACCTCTCCATGGCTTTGACAACGAGGAACTTCAACACCTTTGACGTGAACCGTGTGGGTCCCTCGTCACTGTGAGCATGGCCTCTCCCTCTCTGTTAATTCAGGACCTCCCGTTGCAGCGACCCTCCCTCTTCCCTTTGACGCGCGCATTTTCTGCAACTCGACTCAACCGCTCTCTTCCCAGCTCCAAAATACGCTTTTTGTCACAGTTCCATACCTCACTACCTATTTTGGTTTTTGCACGTTTTTCATGTGTGTTTCATCCTTGGGACTCTGACGAAACATTTATGAACTCAACTTCCTCTTTCGATGTCCACACTGACATTCCTCCATTCTTCCGTACTTCGACATCCTGCAGTCCTGCAGCCTTGATTTTGGTTCAAACTCGTCCTATTTCCCAGCCAACGATCGAAAGAAACAGACAGAAAAACATGCGAAGCCATTGTTGCTTCAGCAGCGCGTGACACATTCTTACGTTGCCGACATTTGCGCAGGTGCGTGAATGGTCAGACATGGTTGTGAAATGTTGTGAAGGTCAAGTCAGTTCCTTGTGCAAAACTTGCTTTCTTTGCTGTGTCTGATGCAGCGACGAATGCGTCCGAACCGTGTTCTCAAGCAGGGTGTGTGATTGCAGCTGTTGACAACAGGATTGTGAATGACGTCTGGGCTACGTTCTCCTTACTCAGGTGGCAAACCTACAAGCAAGAGGGAAAAACACAAGGTGCTGAAATGATGTCGTTGTCTTGGGCAATGACAGAAGCAAGATGGATGAAAAAAAACATATTGGCTGGAGGCAACAAACTGGACTACTACGTACTCCATTAAGGAAGACACCAAGTGGGAGAACACCCTCCCAATTGTGGCAATTCAGGACAACAAACCACCCTTTGGCCACAGCACCTCCAAATATCATCGCAACATCGAACCCGAGTGACACGCTCTTGAAACCTTGTTCGTCAAGGATGACTTGAAACAACACAACAACAACGCAACACAACAACCGATGACAGGGCCGACAATGCGGACGTGTCGGACGTGTCCAAACGACAAGGACTGGACAAGGCCAAGGACACAGAGGACAAGATGGTGAAGAAAGGTCGGCGCGATCATGGCTATCAGCCTTGCTGTCTTCAGAGAGAACACCAACGGTAAACAGTTTCGGCAAAAATGGTTGCTTGAACAGAACCTCCCTCATTCTATAGCATGGTATGTTGGTAATTATTGATTATATAAAGTTGTAAGGCTTTTGAACAGTAGATTGCTTCTCTCTAGGGAACCTGAATCCCTCCTGAAGGAAAATGAAAGCAAGGATCCGTGATACGTTTCCTCGTATTGTCCATGCTTCAGCCAGTGTGGATATAACGCAAAGCATTTCAAACAACAGGCAAACGGTCGTCTACAAAATCATGCCTTGACAACTGAATATGGTTGGAGCAGGAGGCTGTAGCGTGTGGCAGAATGTTCAAATCCTCTTCAACGATTATATAGCACAAACGATGTTTTTTGCTAATCACTGCCCTGGACGTCCCATTCGTTCCTTGATAGAGCTATCCTTGTCACCTCTTTTCCACCTTGACCTGAATGTTGAAAGAAAGCACAATCCTTGCGGGTGTCCTTTTGCCTTGTTCAGTGCCATTTTCGCGCACGCCATCATTCCGCATAAAAATGTCAAAACCCCCGGAAATAAAGAGCAAATCCCGCATGGCGGGGTATGTGGAAGACAGTCAATGAGAGTAAGAGTGAACAAGCGTTGAAAATGACGACTTTGCAATTCAAATTGTTCGATTCTACCCATTCTACCTTACTTGGTTCCCGATATAAAAGCAACAATCATTGTACTAATCATTGTCAAAGTTTGAACCCAGCAACTGCTTTCCCAATTCCTTCGCAAATCCACGCCTGCAAGTGGACACTGGCTTGGAAAGAACACTTGATTTTGACCCCCACAAAATTAACTTGATTCGACAACTGAGGCTCTTCTTTAATGCTAAACAAATTAAACAATAGACAGAAAATTACACAGACCTTGGGAAAACATAATATTGGGAGCTTTGGGGATGGATGGTGACTACTGAAAACATGCATTTGATGGTACATGATGGATCATGATTGTACATTCATTACAAAATTGTCCGCACACGAATCCGTTGCATAAACATGCCAAGCACTGCGTTACTGCGTGTGTTGCATGTGCGCGCAGCATCACATATGCCATTCAGCCCAGAAACCAAAACACACAGAAATCAGCGCACTGAACTGCAGCTGACCCCATGGCCAAACCTGCCTGGCCACTTCCTGGTCATGGATTTCGGCGAGTTGCTCCAGAACTTGCTCGAAGCTTGGCATGGCACCACGGACGCTCACACAAGTTGGCCGAGCCGAGGCCGCACAAGTTCGCTTTCACAGACCGTTCTTTAATGTTCTTTATAGTGAGGTTCACTTTTTGGATGGCCAAAACGCAGATTCGCGAGGACATGTGTTGGTGGTGCTGAGAGAGCAAAACTGGAGGAATCAACTGGTTAGGGTCCAGTAGCGGAGAGTTAGAGGGTCCACTGAGTTTCAACACGATGTGTGTGTATAAGGAATAACTTATATGACATATATATAAGTAAAATTACGATTATATATTATATTTCCAAGTTCCTCCAAGCAATCGAATTGGAAGCATCTCCGACATTCCTTCAACTGCATCTGGCTTCTCAAAACATGATGCGCAAACACAAGCAGTTCCTATGACCAAACGCTATCTGCGCTATCTGCATGTTGAGCCGTAAATGCGATGCATGCTGCATGCAGTAGTAATGAGTCGATCATGAATACCCTCTGCCAGGCAGGGCACAGGCACAGGCACGGTACAGGGTCGTCGCGCGCTCAGTCCGAATGGCGGGGTTTCTCGTGGCAATCGATGCTTCGTCGTTGGGGAGTCGTTTGACCATGGGCCGTTGGGTCGCGTAGATCAATGCAGGCTGAAGCGGCCCGGGCACAAGAGCACAGCCGAGATTGCAAAAACCCGTGCATGGCCGGGGCAGATTTCCTGACACTGACCAGAAAATCAGATCTCGCCAAAGTCTCACGAGTTCAGTCCAAACATTCCACCAAAGGCGCCCAAGCAAGGCGGTGTTCACATTGTGAATCCTCGAAGAATGATGAATGGAGTTGGGGAATCTTAAAGGTCGGTGATGGTCAGTGCATTCTGCACAACGGCGAAAAAGACCTGCGGCCGTTGGTAAAACCGAAGGAAGGACACAGCCACAAGAAAACCTGTTCTGCGCGGCAAAATGCATCTAAAAGGCCAGTTGCAATTGAGCCAGCGTTCTGGTAGCGCATAAGTACAGAGAATCTCCATGAACAAGAACAAAACAATACAAAACACAACACAGATGGAATGCAAAACAATACAAAACACAACAATACAAAAAACACGATGGCTCTCAAACCGGCCAAACCACATGCGCATGGCGATGGCACGACACCCGCGCGGTCGAAAACGGCCGTCATTCCTCCGACCGGTGAAGGTGTGTCGTCTCACCTGTGGGCGATCCTCGGCCAAGTGGATTGGGTCCGATCCATCGCACGGGTGAATTTTTGCCAGCTCGAGCTATCAATTTTCTCTATCATATGCTACCTTGTGTGGAGTAGAGCCACCTTCATCCTTTTTCAAGTGGCTAAATCACCAGCACCAGCTGCGCACTTTGGCCCAAGTGGCAGGTCGTAGAAACCATGTCGGGATCGGAGATGACGTCGTCCCGAGGTCCGCATGTGAGGACGAAACGATGGGTCCGAAGCATTTCGACATGGAGTCGGGCAGACACCGTGAGGGCTCCGTGAGGGCTGATGGTGCAGGTGCTGGCGAGTAGTGAAAGGGATCGTGGCGAAAGGTGTGGCGGCGTGGCGGCGTCGTCGCTTGGTGAGAAACGCGTGCTCGGGCGTTTACTGACTTTTACATGATTCACTTGATTCTGCTAAGTGCTAAAGCTCTATACTCCAATTTGCAGCATCACGACAGCCACACGCCACACGCGCCGCATTCCTTTTCGCCCTTTCGACATGGTGAGACACGCATCACAGATCGCTTAGGGCCACCTGAGGCCGAGAAAGGCGAAAGCAAAAGCTCAAGCGAAGGCGAAGAAAAACCGGGCCGGACTTTCAGGGCCCGGATTTACTTATATTGTTCTATATTAAATGTTGTCTCTCTCTCTATGTATATATATAATATTATATAATATGTTGTTTTCCGATGTGTTTGTTTCATTTAAAGAATCAATATTCTATTCTTGTATTTTCTTGAAAGGTTTCGAAAGGTCGTCCGATGTCGTCCGACTTGGGAGTCCACCTGATATAGCTGTGATACCGAGAGCACTGTGTGTTCAACAGGGGGCTCGCACCGTCACGGTCACTGAGAGGCGCCTTCCAATGCCATGAACCGATCCTTTCAACACCGGCGAGTTCGAAGATGATTGGACTCTGAGCTTGAAGGTTTGACACCTGGAACCCGTTGGAAAACAGGGTTTTGATATATATTTGGGGTGGTTGGCAGTCCAAAATAGGTCATTCAGGTTGTCGGTATAATATATTATATACCACCCCTTGTGGGTCCTGGTAGAGCTCTGGTGGTGAGTGTGGTGGGTGTCTCATGTTCTCCTGCGGCAAATCACTATATACCCAGTCCAAAAGCCAACACGGGCCCTGCCTGACTTCGAGGGTCTCCCACAAAACAATGGAGTTTGAGTGTACCACAGGTAGTTCAGGATTCTGTTCAACTGTATGCCCATTACATCCCCCTCAGATCACATCAGCTACCACATCTATATCCCCAAAAAATAACTTAACATCGATTTAACATTGTGTTTTCCTGTGTTTTCTGTCCGGTCAAGCTTGGACAGCTGTCCAAGCGTGTTGCTTGTCAATCCCCAATCTCCACATCGACCTAGGGAGACCGGCCATTCCACCAATCCCAAGCCATCCCGGTCCACCTGAGGAAAGGCATCCGCTCCCGTCAAAGGGATCGTGGGATCGTTGGGACGATTCACAAAGCAACTTGTTACTAGTAGCGATGCCCTTGTTACTAGTAGTAAGGCATAGTAAGGCCAGCCCCGCTCGTAGCGTCCGATCGCTCCGTTCGTAGCGATGCCAGGAGCCCCGAACGTAGCGATGCCACAAGGCGACATGCATAGATCATAGATCGCACGGCTTTCGGTCACTCGCTACGACTGGTTGTTCGTTCGCAACTGCTGGGTGAATCATGCCTCGTTACATGAACATGCACGAAACCAAAACGGATGAAACACCACAAAATCATACAAAACCGCTATATTCTAAATAAATACTCCCAAAACCTTTTATCTCTACCGAGTCAGCCCCTCAGAGGGGCCCAAAATAGCACATCATCGGCACAGTCAAGTTTCCCCCACTCTCCCAGTCTACAGAACCGAAATCTAAAAATCCAGGGCCCACGGTGGGATCTAGGAATCTCCTGGTACGTCGGTTTCATCCTTTATCCACTCTTTGTACACAAAGTTGATCAACATGTTTTCTCTCCAAATGGTTTCTTCCCGAAACGGAGAAACGGCTCAAGCACCCCACCGCGCCGACGATGGACATGGGTTTCCGCTGCTTGCCCTGCAACGGGCTTTGGTTCGGATTTGAGATGCAAAAGTGTGAATGTTGAATGCATCTTAAGAGCAATTTTTTACGTGCGGATTCGGATCAACATTTACAGTCTCGAACACTATTCAAGGCTCAGAACAGTGAACAGTCATCAAGCATGACCACAAGGGAAGGGAATGGTGACCACATGAACGCCACACCACACTCACACACACCACCAAAACCAAAAAACAATGAGTGTACGAATGTGACCACACGTGACACCAGCGGAGTTGTAAAGAAATAATACCTGCATCAAATCCAATCCAAAAAAAACAACATATAACGGGCACTATCTCCAAAAGAACTCGGGAGTGTCTAACAAAACAATGCAACAAAAACGTTATAAACACATTCAGGCATCCCAACAAAAAGCCTCAGGCATCGTCAGGCCACATTTCTGGCCTAAATAGTTAAAGGCCAAAGATCAAAAGCACTCAAAACAATCAGAGTACACAAAAAACAACCATGGAACACATCAAAAAACAGTTGAAATCCATTGAAAAATGATCTATGGAATCTATGCCTTGCGGCACAGACATTTGTAAGAGTAGTGTAGGTCTGCTGCGACTCAGTTACTCACTGATCCGGCTAAAATGTTGGTGCATCGGGCTACCAAGAAGGCCCGGAACGATGATGCTTGGACTGATGGGCATATCTGGGATGGCGATGCTAAAGGCACGTGATTGATCAACTGCGATGAGCTGTGATGAGGGGTTGGTCAGTTGTGACCCATTGAGTATATGTGACAAATCAACTTAAGAACGATAGAAACAATCTAGCAACAACAAAGACATCTCCAAACCAATAAGGACCAATCAAGTACCCAAAACACCAAGAACACACACTCTGACATTGGTATTCAGTGAACTCAGTTCCCACGTTGAGAAGGAAGGTGAGGGAACGGCAAGGTGGCAAAGTCCGCTGAAAAGTATTGTTCAACATTGTTCACACAGGCACTCCACGTTGAGAAGGAAGGTGAGGGAACGGCAAGGTGGCAAAGTCCGCTGAAAAGTATTGTTCAACATTGTTCACACAGGCACTCATGCGTTCAAAGCGGCTGCAAGACGATCAAACCGGCGGCGCAGCTGCTGGGGAAGAGTAGGTTTGGGGGAAGTATCATGAACCACCATGGAAACAAAAAGGAGATTGGACAGCTTTTGCAAAAGTTGGTCGCCGGTACGCTGGAGTGGCCAACTCCAGTATCCCATCTTGCTGCCTAGCTTTGTTAGACCAGGTCAGCAGCAAGATGCCTGGTCCCCCTGCCTTATGGAGTAGTGGTGGTGGAAACAGTGGCATTGAACCCTTTGGTACAGGGGGTTGCCCTCTTAGCGCTGCTCTTTCTGTCTTTCTTTTCTTTTGTTTCTAAGGCTTTTTAGGTAACTATTGAGGTGTTTCACACGAGCGCCGGAAAGGTAGGTGTAGAAAAAGTGAATACTTAGCCCTTGACTGGGGTAGGGAAAACGAGCCTCAAGAGCAACCTAAAAAGCCTGAGAGAAAGCCCAAAAAGCGCAAGAAGGAAAGCGGGGGGCAGGGAGGGGGTGTATGTTCATGTGTGTGTCTGAATACCTAGCACTCTAGAGTTACTGATTACCTAGCAGAAATGAATTAAATGCAATAGTTAGGGAGCGGGACTTTAGTCTTAGACCGCCCGGGTAGGATAGACTAGAACAGGGACAACAAAGGGAAAGGCACCGACACACAAGTGCGTCGAGTACCATTTCCCTGTGTTACCCTAATTAGGTCGGGATAAGAACG